ATTTAGTTTATTTTTCATTTCATATGAATTAGTTAGTCTAGAATTTGAACGATTTCTAATGGGGCATAATATTAGAGCTAAATGTTTTGATAATTCATATGTAGGGGTATTTCTAAAATCTACTATTGGTCTTATGGGATAACCTGGCTTATGTATTTTAATAGTACCATACATCCTACTAGCATTATTAGTTTTAGGCATTAAATTAAACCATTTTGACTCACCCAGTGACGGCTTCATTCTGCGTACTAATTCCGCTGTGGATTTTTTAACCTTATTCATTATTGTGTCTACGGGCTTCTTAATTTCCTCATATGGACCCATTTCAATATGTTCAGTGACTTTCTTGATGTAGTCAGATTTATTCAAAACTACGGTGGCGTTTCCTTTGTCAGCTTTTGCGATGACAATATTTTTATCCTGTTTTAGATTAATTAAAGCTTCTCTTTCCGACTTTGTCAAGTTTGATTTTGCCTTCTTTTGATTTTTTAGGGTTAATGCACATTGTGCTCGAACCTCTTCTGCTGTTGTTTTATCTATTGTACCTAGTGCTACTTCTATGTTAGGAATGACATCTTCTGGTTTTAATTTATTAATTGTTACGTTGAAATTTAGTCCTTTCTCTCATCAAGGGAACTAAGCTCCAGTGAGATAAAAGTACTGGAGAAAGGACTAAATTTCAACGTAACAATTAATAAATTAAAACCAGAAGATGTCATTCCTAACATAGAAGTAGCACTAGGTACAATAGATAAAACAACAGCAGAAGAGGTTCGAGCACAATGTGCATTAACCCTAAAAAATCAAAAGAAGGCAAAATCAAACTTGACAAAGTCGGAAAGAGAAGCTTTAATTAATCTAAAACAGGATAAAAATATTGTCATCGCAAAAGCTGACAAAGGAAACGCCACCGTAGTTTTGAATAAATCTGACTACATCAAGAAAGTCACTGAACATATTGAAATGGGTCCATATGAGGAAATTAAGAAGCCCGTAGACACAATAATGAATAAGGTTAAAAAATCTACAGCGGAATTAGTACGCAGAATGAAGCCGTCACTGGGTGAGTCAAAATGGTTTAATTTAATGCCTAAAACTAATAATGCTAGTAGGATGTATGGTACTATTAAAATACATAAGCCAGGTTATCCCATAAGACCAATAGTAGATTTTAGAAATACCCCTACATATGAATTATCAAAACATTTAGCTCTAATATTATGCCCCATTAGAAATCGTTCAAATTCTAGACTAACTAATTCATATGAAATGAAAAATAAACTAAATGACATACAACTAGATAATGATGAAACAATGGTTAGTTTTGATATAACCAGTCTTTATACTAATATACCAGTCAATATGGCCTTAGAAGCAGTTAAAAAAGAACTAACTGCGGATACTGAACTCAATCATAGGACAAAGCTGTCCATTGAAGAAATTATTTTAGGGATTCAGCTATGCCTCACATCTACTATCTTTAGATTCCAAGGCAAAATATATAGACAAACTGAAGGTGTAGCAATGGGATCACCAATATCCCCTATCGTAGCAGATATATTTATGGATAGCTGGGAAAATATGGCACTTAATACGTTTAATCCTACTCCAAAAATATGGTGGAGATATGTGGATGACACTTTCACAGTGTTAAAAACAGAACATATCTCTAGCTTCTTGACACACATAAACTCACTAGTGGAGGGAATAAAATTCACATTTGAAATCGAAAATGAGCAAGGAGAATTAGCTATGTTAGATTGTAAAATAAAACGAATAGAAGAAGGCAAACTACACACTAGTGTTTATAGAAAACCAACGCATTCTAATAGATATTTAGACTTTAATTCATCTCATCCTTTAACTGTTAAGGCAGGCTTAGTTAAGTGTTTAACAAACCGAGCAATGGCACTAAGTAGCACAAAAAAAGACCTAAATGATGAAATAAAACAGATAGAAGAGGCGTTGGTTTTAAATAACTATCATCTAAAATTCATTAGGAAGATTGAAAAACGCCAAAAGAAAAATAAAAAGAATTGTGAAACTGGTAATAATAACATAAATAAGGGAGAATATAAGTCACCTACAGTTATACCATATAAAGAGGGGACATCTGAGACTCTACGTAGGATTGAGGGATCAGTATTGCTTGGAATCATTTTTACTAGCGCGCGTTGAGTTTCAATGAGAGTTCGTTGCTTCAATTCACTCATTGACTCCCTGGTTGGGGTCTGAGAGATAGCTCAAATCGATGGCTCGAAACGTTATCGGATATGGCCAAGAATCGTAATCAATGGCGAATGTGTTGCGATTTCCTTCTTTGTTCCATTCCCGATGATAGTTAACGAACACTGTTTGAACCTGTTAAGAATGAGTGTTTTCCTTCCAGATGAAGTTCTTTATTCGTTCTCTACTTATATATATTTTTTCTTTTCCTGCCTTCCTTCCTTTTTTTCATCTATGTTGTTTTATTATTATTGTGTGGCGCATCCTCCTTGGTGCCATATTGTACCAAGTTTTAATGAGTTTAAATAAAATAACTTCGTAGGATTCTAAATAAAGCAGGAATTAGGGTGGCATTTAAACCTACAAACTCACTCAGGGACAAGCTCTGTAGGTTAAAGGACCCAGTGGACCCAATTAGACAAAATAATATAATTTACAAAATACCCTGCAATGACTGTGATTGTGGTCAACTACATAGGTCAAACTAGTAGGTCAGGGGTAGTCAGATTGTCAGAACATAAGAATTTAGCTAAGGTAAGAATGGTTGACCCAGAGAAGATAAGTAATTTAGAAAAAAGCTCGGCAATTGCAATGCATGCATTGACACACAACCACACAATAGGGTGGGAGAGGGTTAAAATTCTAAAAAGTAATCTAGGTAGGTGGAGAGAGAGGTTGATTACTGAATCTTTGTTCATCGAATCTACACCCAACACATGCAATAGGAATGAATCATCACTCATACCTGAAATATGGAAAATAATACTACCAATCAAATCAAGTGAAAATCAAGTGAAAAACAATGGAACTATATAAATGAATTTAGGAAGTCGTGTGATTAACTTGATATGATTATGAGCAATAAATTGTGCTCGAAACGTCATCAGTAAATATTACTGTATAACACTGTGAGACTCTATCAAAATAAAATTTACCCATAATGGAATTACATTCTACCACAGTGCACAAGTTTTATTCTTATATCAATGGTCAGCCTCCCTCTCTATCTACTTGATTACTTCTTAGAATTCTAACCCTCTCCCACAACCTTATTTTGTGGTTGTGTGTTAATACATGCAATGGTTTTGCTGTTCCTTTTTCTTAACTACTTATCTTCTTGGGGTCAACCATTCTAACCTTATTTAAATTCTTATGTTCCAACAATCTGACTACCCCTGATCTACTAGTTTGACCTATGTAGTTGACCACAATCACAGTCATTGCAAGGTATTTGGTAAATTATATTATTTTTTCTAATTGAGTTAACTGACAGGGTCCTTTAACCTACAGATCTTGTCCTACCTGAGTGAGTTTGTAGGTTTCAATGCCACTCTATTTCCTGCTTTATTAAGAATCCTATATAGGGTCTCAGATGTCCCCTCCTTATATGGTGGACCTGTAGATGCCTTATATTCTCTCATTTATGTTGTCATAACTAGTTTCACAGTTATTTTGATTTTGTTTTTGGCCCTTTTGGTCTTCTTAATGAATTTTATAGGATAGTTATTTGATACCGAGCATTGGTATCAAATAACTCAAAACGTCATCAGTAAATATTACTGTATAACACTGTGAGACTTCATCAAAATAAATTTTACCCATAATGGAATTACATTTCTAGCTACTTGTTTTGCATTTTTGGAATTTTTAAATCATGAAGTGATGAACTTCCCTACGAAGATTAGCATTGATTGTCTAATAGGTCAGTCAATGAAAGAAACCAACTTAAAGTAGTGGTAGTAGTAGTGACTGGCTGACTTGTTTCAACGTAGATCTTCACACAGATGTGCAGCAGCTCCAGTTGCCACACTCTCCCCGTGTACTACACAAAGCCAGAGAAGAGAGTAAAGAGAGATAATAAACAAATAAACCAGACAGCCATCACACCCAGTCTACACCCGCCTACGTGACTGGCTGGCCTAAACTAAATGTTATGGATTTCGTTGACTGGTGAAGTCGTGTTTTCGTTTCACCACCACTAGCTTTTTTAGATCTCACCGATGCTGTGTCAGCTAGGTAAGATTGCCCGTCGACGAAGGCGATCGATGACTAGGCTAGCATGCGTAACACCTCTCCTAGCCATATCAATCAATGTAACATTACAACCTCGTCGGTTGTCTTTCCCTGCCTCCTTACCTATCGTTCAACCGATGCTTAACCTCAATACAATATTACTCACCCTACCATACCATACTACCTAACACGGGATGTAGGTAAAACAGACACGTATGGTGAAAGACAGCTAGCTAGGCTTTTCATGTCTTTCACTGTCAGTGGTCACGTTTCACTCACATTTATAAAGGAGTAGGTGGGTCTGATATGGCTAATGCAACTTCTCTGAAAAAATCTTGCTCTATGCTAGTAGCTTTTTTTGTCCATTCGCTACCCTAACATTCTTCCTGGGATGCAAGGACCTGCGAGAACATTAGTTCCAGCCAGTGTACCTTGTTGGTTCATTGTTATACGCAAGCCTGACCACAACGTAATGATAGATAGCAGTTGTCGGGTAGGAACTTAGGTTACATAACGTTGAGAATATTTAGTTATATTTTTGAAAAATCTTTTCGTAACTCTCCTTTAAGCTGAAATTTGTGATAATCTGTATGACTGTCTGTTTATTGATAATCGGCTGTGTTCATTTGCGAAATATTTTACTTTGAATATACAAAATGCTTGATGAATAAGCCTGTTTTCTTTGTGTAATGGTGATTTTGTTTTTTGTTTTTTTCTCCGCCTTTTTCCACTCAAAAATCCAATAACGATAGATAAAAAATATGCAGAGGACTAGTCCTGATCCTCTCGTCTCTGCTACCCTACTCGTGTGTGCACATTGTATTCACGAAGCAATTGAATTACTGTTAAGTTATGACAAAGTTAAAGAAGCTTTAATTCTGGCTCATTTACGTTTAGAATCATCATCATCATCAGAAGTTGTAATATACACAGAAAAGTGTATAAAACGGTTAATTGATCATCGTTCAAGTTCAGTTGATGAAAAGTCATTCATTCTTTTCAATTCTATTGAATATTGGAAATAAACAATGGATAGATGCTACGAATATTATGGTACATCGTGAAGTAGAAATTTCTAAAATACGACCTGGTAAAGAAGAGATTGAACAACTTGGCTGACTGGTGTTGGATTGGTATTAATCTTCTTCTTCTAAATGCACCATCATCATCATCACCACCTTCAAATGATAATGATTATTTGTCAAATGAATGTCTGCGTTTATCATCAATGTGTTTAACAGTTAGTTTTCGGCTATTTGTACACCTCGTGTCAAGTGAACGCAATGATATATAATGAAAAGGATTGAAAAAACATGATTATTTATTGACTGGACAAAAGCATAAACGTAAAAATCAATGAATATTCGACATTAAAACCTTACACTGGCAGGTTTCACTCAGCATACAAACTTGTCGTCCGTATTTGAAGTAAAACCATCGCCCACTTTTTCGACAATCTTGACGAATGGGATCTCATGAAGTATGCAACACGAATAACTGGCTGGAACTTATTTCAAACAACAACAGCTAAGCAAGTGATCTACCATATCACACATAACACTTATCCCATAGATCGCCGTATTGTAAAAGCTGCAGCGTACAACCATTTTTACACAGTTAACTGACACGTCTTTTAACAGTAAGACGGTGAATATAGTGAAGTGAAACTCCCACGAAGGAGAGAAAATATCAAACTGAAATTTGATTGAAGACTTTGTCGAACACTCACCTTAACCATCTGATCACGTCCACATGTGAGAATCTCAGGATCTGACGATGATGCAGAAGCACTTGAGCGCCATACAATTTGACAGATATCCGCCTCATGAGCATAAAAGCGAGTCAACTGTACGATGCTTGAAGTTGAAGAAATATCCGACGGTTTAAATGAATAAACACACACAATTCCCTTTTTGTTACCGACAGCAACTCGCGAAATGGAAGGAACTATTGCAGATTTCTCCCATGCGAACATCACAACAGAATCGTTTTCAAATTTTTCAGATACATAGTAAGATTTGCTTGTCTCACAGTCGTCAACAACCCATACTAAAAGCAACCCTTTATCTGTGCCCACGAAGTTGTACGACTCATATTTGCAGAGTAGGAGAAACAGCTGACAGCTGTTCGATTGATATTACCCCGCACTTTTTGTATATTAAACTCGGTCTCCAGCATCCATTCTTGACTTCCAACGTCGAACCGAACCTTCAAGGCCACAAGAAACTATACGCACACAAGCACACTCATCAAAGGTTACTGCTGATATCTTGTCTTGATGGGGTATTATCTGGCCCACACGACTCCACGAATACTGCTGTTGATTTTCCAAGTTCGTTTCTTGTTTAATGATGAGAATATGTAAATAAGTACGAGAGGTAAATGCAACAAGAGCACGTCCTCCATTGTTATGGGTTAGCCAATTTGTGACAGCCACTACGTTTGACTGGAACCAGTCTGGTGGACCTGTCAAAACATATTTGGCTATTTTGCGATATTCCTGAATTACGTAAATTAGTGTCACACTGAACTTACCATCAGGAGGTAGTGTAACGCAACGTTTACAGTCCCACCAATTTCAATATCCAAGATATTCGAGCGGTTGGACTTACTCAGATTTCAATTTATTGGGTGAGTATAGATGGCTTGGAGCCTATGTTAATCCTTTTCCAGTAAATTTCTGTGACTGTCCAAACCCTTCTTGAATGAATCAGTTGAGATTGTAGACACCACTTCTTCTGGGAGTCGGTTCGAAGTGTTTATGACTCCAATATCCAGTACCGTTTTTACGAGCTAGTATAAACCAATTTGATTTCTTTGTGCTTGCCTCTTGATTGTGAGATATCGGTTCCTGATCTTCGTTAAACTTCTGCGTAGCTCGTCCCGCCACTCGACTGTGGTAGCTTTGGTTGACTCCAAAAGGAGTAGTGCTCGATTATATAATGTGTGGTTTGTAGTATGAGGTGTGAGATTCAGTACTCCACAGAGCTATGGTTTCTCCTTGGCTTTGGAACTCTCCTGCTACGTCCTCTAAGGCGTTCCCCTTTAAGACCAGGACAGGCTGCCTGGATACAGTTTTCTAGTCTTGACCTCACCGGAGATGTATGTAGTTAGGTGAAAATATCTCTGGCGATTGTGGCAAAGGCTCTGCGAATTGTCCATAAGGACCTGAAACTACGTGCAGCCACCGCGCAACAGTGTGCTGTAGTTATTAAATCGTGGCTAACCTACGCACTGTTTTCAAACGCTAATGAACTGCTGGCTTAAAGCTGAAACCGTCTAAGTGTACCTTCCTTCAGCAAGAAGTTGTTTTCTTGGGTCACCGCATTTCACCAGACGGCATCCAGACAGATCCAGCAAAAACCCGCCTCATCTCTGACTGGCCTGTACCGCAGTGTACTAAAGACGTTCGCAGTTTCCTGGGCTTAGCGTCGTACTGTCTTCGTTTTGTCCCCGCGTTCGCCACTATAGCGTCACCCCTGCATCGCTTAACGGAACAGGGTCGGAAATTTTTGTGGACTAGTGAGTGCCAAAATGCTTTTAATGAGTTGAAGAAACGTCTCACATCATCACCCATCCTCGCATTACTTGACACGTCCCCATCCGCTGGCTCCTTCATTTTAGATACTGATGCAAGTGCTACTACCATTGGCGCTGTCCTCTCTCAAGTGGCGCCTGATGGTCACGAACGGGTTATTGCATATGCTAGCCGTAAGCTGGACAAACGTGAAACCCGCTACTCCACGACGCGCCGAGAGATGCTGGCCCTCGTCCATTTTCTCAAACATTTCCGCCATTACCTCCTCGGACGCCCATTTTGAGCACGCACTGACAGTCGTGCCCTACAGTGGCTTCAAACTTTTCGCGAACCCGAAGGCCAGGTTGCTCGCTGGAAGGGGCGTTTACAGGAGTTCGATTTTACCTGTGAGTATCGCCCTGGATCCCGGCACGCTAACGCTGATGCCCTCTCCCGTCTGCCGCCTTACGTTTCCCCGGTAAATGCTATACTAAATACAGGCCTAGATGTTAATTGGGCAACACTGCAGGCGGCTGACGCCGACATCCAACCTGTTTACTCACGTCAACTTCACAGGAACGATAAACCGCCGAGTAAAGAACTACGGAGTCTGTCTGACGCAACCGGATGCATCTGTGGTAAGTGGGGTATGCTACGCCTGATTGATAACGTCTTGTATGTAGTTGAACCGCCATCATCGCCCCGCCTTATCGTGCCACGTCTGTAGGTCCCGGAGGTAATACATCTCGTACACCAGCAACTTGGCCACGCTGGCCAACGAAAAACCGAACACGCTGTCCGTCAACGCTTTTGGTGGCCACTCCTTCATCACGACGTCACTGAATTCTGCAGAAATTGCGCTACGTGTGCCCAAATTAAGCAGCCTAATCCAGTCTCGCGAGCACCATTGGTTTCGATGTTAACCGAGGCTCCCAATCACCGAGTGGGGATAGATATTATGGGGCCAGTTACAGCGTCGAGACGCGGTAACCGTTACATACTCGTAATGGTAGACTATTTCACCAAGTGGTGCGAGGCTGTTCCTCTGCAACACCAGGATGCCCTGACGATCGGTCGCGCCTTCATTGATACGTGGGTGTCTCGTTTTGGTGCCCCCCTTTATCTACACTCCGATCAAGGCACTGCTTTCGAGAGTAACCTCATCGCGCACATCTGCAATACGTTTGCCATTCGGAAAACGCACACGACATCCTACCATCCACAAGGTAATGGGCTAGTGGAACGCACCAACAGAACCATCAAGAATCTTCTCCGTGCCTTTCTGCATAACGCTCCGGAAATCACCTGGGACGACGTCCTGCCCCAGTGCTTGCTGGCTTATCGCTCCTCCGTGCATTCCTCAACGGGTTTTTCCCCAGTTATGATGTTGTTCGGGCGTGAACTCCGTCTACCAGTCGAGATCCAGGCGCCAATGCTACCGTATGAGAGAATCGACTGCATACCTATGTACGACATCTTCGTCATCACCTGGAGGTAGCATACGGTCTGGCGCGCCGTCATCTCCACTCCTCTTCAGAACACCAGAAGAGCATCTACGACCGGTTCGCTCGCGGACCCACGTATTCCCTCGGTGATTACGTCTGGCTATATTGCTGGAAAAGTGGCAAATACTCGACAGTTGTTTCGATTTAAAATTGGGCTCTGATCATGTCCTCCTAAAGTTTTTCAGTCGTCGACAATTAACCGGGGAAAGTCCCCTAGAGTGCTTCCATGCCTTACAACTTATGGCAGCTGGAGTGGATGACAGGCGTTCTCTGTGATTGGGATCTGCGTTGTCATCCACTCTAGCTGCCATAAATTGTAAGGCGTGAAGCTCTGGGGATTCCGGTTAATTGTCGACGATGAAAAACTTTAGGAGACATGATCAGACCCAATTTTAAATCGAAACAACTGTCGAGTATTTGCCACTTTCCAGCAATATAGCCAACGTAATCACCGAGGGAATACGTGGGTCCGCGAGCGAACCGGTCGTAGATGCTCTTCTGGTGTTCTGAAGAGGAGTGGAGATGACGGGGCCAGACCGTATGCTACCTCCAGGTGATGACGAAGATGTCGTACATAGGTATGCAGTCGATTCTCTCATACGGTAGCATTGGCGCCTGGATCTCGACTGGTAGACGGAGTTCACGCCCGAACAACATCATAACTGGGGAAAAACCCGTTGAGGAATGCACGGAGGAGCGATAAGCCAGCAAGCACTGGGGCAGGACGTCGTCCCAGGTGATTTCCGGAGCGTTATGCAGAAAGGCACGGAGAAGATTCTTGATGGTTCTGTTGGTGCGTTCCACTAGCCCATTACCTTGTGGATGGTAGGATGTCGTGTGCGTTTTCCGAATGGCAAACGTATTGCAGATGTGCGCGATGAGGTTACTCTCGAAAGCAGTGCCTTGATCGGAGTGTAGATAAAGGGGGGCACCAAAACGAGACACCCACGTATCAATGAAGGCGCGACCGATCGTCAGGGCATCCTGGTGTTGCAGAGGAACA